ATATCTGTAGGGGTACCAGAGTAGGTATATATCTGTAGGGGTACCAGAGTAGGTATATATCTGAGTAGGTATATATCTGTAGGGATACCAGAGTAGGTATATATATGTAGGGGTACCAGAGTAGGTATATATCTGTAGGGATACCAGAGTAGGTATATATCTGTAGGGATACCAGAGTAGGTATATATATGTAGGGGTACCAGAGTAGGTATATATCTGTAGGGATACCAGAGTAGTTATATATCTGTAGGGATACCAGAGTAGGTATATATCTGTAGGGATACCAGAGTAGGTATATATCTGTAGGGATACCAGAGTAGGTATTGTATATATCTGTAGGGATACCAGAGTAGGTATATATATCTGTAGGAATCACCAAGAGTAGGTATATATCTGTAGAGGGTACCAGAGTAGGTATATATCTGTAGGGTACCAGAGTAGGTATATAGCTGTAGGGATTCCAGAGTAGGTATATATCTGTAGGGGTACCAGAGTAGGTATATATCTGTAGGGGTTCAGAGTAGGTATATATATGTAGGGTGCCCAGAGTAGGTATATATATCTGTAGGGATACCAGAGTAGGTATATATCTGTAGGGATACCAGAGTAGGTACATATCTGTAGGGATACCAGAGTAGGTATATATCTGTAGGGATACCAGAGTAGGTATATATCTGTAGGGGTACCAGAGTAGGTATATATCTGTAGGGGTACCAGAGTAGGTATATATCTGTAGGGATACCAGAGTAGGTATATCTGTAGGGGATACCAGAGTAGGTATAGATCTGTAGGGATACCAGAGTAGTATATATATCTGTAGGGATACCAGAGTAGGTATATACCTGTAGGGATACCAGAGTAGGTATATATCTGTAGGGATACCAGAGTAGGTATATATCTGTAGGGTTACCAGAGTAGGTATATATCTGTAGGGGTACCAGAGTAGGTATATATCTGTAGGGATACCAGAGTAGGTATATATCTGTAGGGATACCAGAGTAGGTATATATCTGTAGGGGTACCAGAGTGGGTATATATCTGTAGGGATACCAGAGTAGGTATATGTCTGTAGGGGTTCCAGAGTAGGTATATATCTGTAGGGATACCAGAGTAAGTATATATCTGAGTAGGTATATATCTGTAGGGATACCAGAGTAGGTATATATCTGTAGGGATACCAGAGTAGGTATATATCTGTAGGGGTACCAGAGTAGGTATATATCTGTAGGGATACCAGAGTAGGTATATATATGTAGGGATACCAGAGTAGGTATTTATATGTAGGGGTACCAGAGTAGGTATATATCTGTAGGGATACCAGAGTAGGTATATATCTGTAGGGGTACCAGAGTAGGTATATATCTGTAGGGGTACCAGAGTAGGTATATATCTGTAGGGATACCGCTGGAAATATTGTCGGTAGGGATACGCTGTCGGGTTATATATGTCGGATATTAGACTTGCACAAGTCTCTAAGCTAAAAAATAATAGTTTAAATGATAATTTCTAAAAAATAATAATAGAGACTGATGTCCTTACTGTTCGCTTACCTAGACTTGTCTCTTCGAAGGATAGAATTACTATATATCCATGGACTCAGCATTCAGTGCAGCCTTGGAAGGAAGCTAGTTGGATATGTGCAGTGCCATAGTTCTTGGAATACCGATTTAGGGATATATCTGTGAATACACTAGGGTTGTTTTATTATTTTTCGGTATTTTTGACACGAGTATCAATAACCATGATAATGCTTCACGGATAAGAGTTTCTACAGAACATTAAAAAAATAAACTGATATGTTTGCCCCGACTCTCGGCAACAAATGTCAAAATGCTAAAAACTATTTTCTTGGTAGATTCAAGCTAAGTGTGTACGTAATGCCGACGTGATGACATCGGACGTCAACACGACGTCAAAACACTCTGTCAGGTGTAGGTTTTCTATTGAAGACAGTTCGAGGAGCTCCCTGTCCCCTGGATCTTTATAGAATAAGGGAGTATTAGCCTTACAATTCCATTCCCATTGACATTTACGTCAATGCTCCCGACAATGCTTCCACTTCTTAACAACAATGAATAATAGATTTCGTTGCTACAAAACTTTTCAAAACTGCCATCACGAAACAAAATACCGCCAACATGCGACAAACAATTTATTGTCTTAACCACGTCAACCTGAGTTCATAAACATCCATATAATGACGCGATTAAAAACAAGTTAACTAATCGCTAGTGGTGGGAAATGCAAGATATCTTACCGGGACTACAGTCAGCCTTGGAATAGTTCCTCCACTCAACGAGGCAGTGGGGAAACAAAATATTTGTCTGTAATTTCAAGAACCCAAGCAATGCCGCTACTTCGATAGCATTAACCTGTTACAGGCAGCTCCCAACAGAAAGTATTCAACCATTATTTTTGAGGCAGCTGCGGTCGACGATATGTGCCATGTTTACAAGCCTGTCCCAGCATGCTTGGCCATGTTTACAGTCTAGTCTCAGACCTGACCATGTTTACAGACTAGTCTCAGACCTGACCATGTTTACAGACTTGTCTTACAAGGCAGACCTGACCATGTTTACAGACTAGTCTCACAAGGCAGGTATGACCATGTTTACAGACTAGTCTCACAAGGTAGGTATGACCATGTTTACAGACTAGTCTCAGACCTGACCATGTTTACAGACTTGTCTTACAAGGCAGACCTGACCATGTTTACAGACTAGTCTCACAAGGCAGGTATGACCATGCTTCACGTTATCCTACAGAGCAGGTATGACCATGCTTCACGTTATTCCTACAAGGGCAGGTATGACCATGCTTCACGTTATTCCTACAGGGCAGGTATGACCATGCTTCACGTTATTCCTACAGAGCAGGTATGATCATGCTTCACGTTATTCCTACAGAGCAGGTATGACCATGCTTCACGTTATTCCTGATTGACCTGACGTGATTGACCTGATGTGACCAAGTTTCTTACAGTAAGTGTATGGGGCTCATATCAGGATAAATATATATAGGGATTGAATGCTGGTCAAGCAAACTTGGAACGCCAGATGTGTTAAATTGATGTTCCCTCACAACCAACTTATATATGTACGTCGTGACTTGGTATACACGTTTTGCACCTTGCCTGAGACAGTGCATTTCTCAGCGCCGACATTCCATTAATGTCACGATAAAGAAGATACAAGAAACATTAGAAAGACGAACATGCAATAAATATTAATAATACATGGCAACTGGAACTTGAGATGGAAAGGTTGGTCGATATGTCCCATTTCAACAAATTTGATATTCAATGATTACGTAAAAATTATAACTGATAAATATCACTGCGTTGTCTGGTCCCGACTCGATTATTTGCAGACCGCCGCCATATAGCTGAAATATTGCTGAGTGTGGCGTAAAACTAAACTCACTCACTCACTCTCTCTCAACTTGTACATAAATCAAACTGATTAACTTTATTGATCAAAATCTTCATTATATGTTCGCTCCTTTCCTATGTCATCATCCCTCTTTCCATACTTCCTCGTCCACTGATCTACATGAAAACTTTCCCCTCGTCCACAGATCACATTAACACTTTCACTTCGTCCACTGATCTACATTAACACTTTCCCCTCGTCCACTAATCTACATGTAAACTTTCCCCTCGTCCACTGATCTACATGTAAACTTTCACTTCGTCCACTGGTCTACACTTAAACTTTCCCCTCGTCCACTGATCTACATTTAAACTTTCCCCTCGTCCACTGATCTACATTTAAACTTTCACCTCGTCCACTGATCTACATTTAAACTTTCACCTCGTCCACTGATCTACATTTAAACTTTCACCTCGTCCACTGATCTACATTAACACGTTCCCCTCGTCCAATTCCCTTGGAATGCTGGGCACACACAGTCAGTCAACAAGGGGCGCAGTGTCAATAACCTCGCCTCAACACAACACGGATAAACATAAGCTACACCCGGCGTTTGTCCCCGTCGTTATTAGCCTTTCAGGTTAAGCGACCGAAGCTTTGTGTGTAACTGACAAGGAACAAGGCACAACATGTGTTGTCGCCTTCGATCTGGCCCGTACTCCGAGTTTGGACTGGCTCGAGTCGACTGGTGCAGTATTTAAAACCTCGTCTCAACCCTCAGAATAAATACGCAACCGCCACTTCATCACTGGTGCATCTTTTAACACCACAAACGTTGAGTCTCAGAAAAGAGAGCCAAATTTCATTTCGATTTTTTTTTCAATAAAAAATGTAGCCAGTAACTTCATTTAAGCGTCGAGTTTCAAACAATATTTATGAAAGTGGAGAGAAGCTTGACACCCCGGGAAGTCGGTTTGAATATGTCACAATCTCCGACTCGCCAAATATCAAGAGTCCCCGCCTTGTCCAATTAGCCACAGCATGAGCAGCGCTCGAGAGTCCCAGAGACAGACGTAAACCACGTGAAATAGACAACACAAGACTCTACCATGAAAATAACGTCTAACGGACGCTAAGAGACAGAATGAAATATCAGCTTTGTTGTAAAGCCCAGCGGAGCAATATCGGCAAATGACGATAAATCTACTCGAGCGGTGTTTGATATTTGACAGGGTGAAACATAATCAAACAGCGACAATGTGACATGTTATCTATTCATAAGTCCGCCGTGGCAAAGTACAAGTGTTATCTATGTTTCTCAGTGATGTGGCCACTTGGTAAACAACCTCCCTGTCGTTAGTCCTCGTCAATCAATTGTAAAGATGAAATGTCGTCTGCTCCAACATAATGTCGTCTGCTAACGTTCTCACGTGGGGAGAAGCAGACGAGATTTTATCCGCAGCGTTACTAAAGCCGATAATATCAACCTGCCAGCAGTGACGCCAAATAAGTAGTAATTTGTATGACTGGAAATGTGCCTTAAGGTAACAGGCTCAATATATCAGTATTGTAAGGAAAGTAGGGCGAGGCTGCAAGAGGGGTATAATTTAGAATAATTATCACTCTTACCTGTACCACTGAAGTCCTTTATTGTAGTGTCTATCAAAGAAGTGGGGTTCGGGTCCGGGAGCACGCACATCAGGGTGGATCCTGAGGAACTCCAGTAAGGCTCTTGTTCCTCCTTTCTTCACACCAATAATTAGTGCCTCGGGTAGTTTCTTTATAGCATTTTCTTGTACCCTTGCGAGTCTTGTTGATTCTGTGCTGTCCTTTCTCTTGACCTGACCCCCCTCCTGAAATATCTCATACTCCTCCTCTTCCTCCTCCCCTCTCCCAGAATCGCTCCACTCCTCATCCAGATAAATCGTACTCGCGGTATTTGTCAACCGATTATCCATCTTAGATCGTTTGCTCACAAAGTTGTCTCCAGTATTCCCTCCTAAGCTTGGCTTGTTTCTCCCGCTGATAACCTTCCCGCCTCGCTCCGATATTTCTTGAGCATGTGAATTTTGAAGTACTCTGTTATGTCTTGAGACAAGCAGTGAAGGTGAATCCTGAGTTTTGTCACTAAATTCCTCTCGCTGAAGCTTGTCCCCTAGGGCGGAGAGGTCGGACGTGGAGGATCTCTCGCTGACGACGAGCGAGTCGGACAGAGGCACCACATAGAGGACAGACAGGGCGAGGAGGTAGGCACAGACTATCAGGAACCCTCCAAGACTCATAATGACCAGCAACACACTTCGTCTCACTCTCAGACAACGAAACACAAACATATCCAAGAATAACACAGGGTTAAGTTGCACCCCTCCAATGGTCCATCCATCGTTCCTTCATTCATCCGACTTCGTCTTCCAGCCTTCCCACGACTACACCAACGTCGAAGGAGGCTCCGTTTAGCCGACGTCTTGTTTAGTAAACATCCTTTAGCTGCGTCACGGCTGGTCAGTTAGTCACGACGCGGAGGGCATTCTACCTGAAACATCAATACAACGTGAACTCAACTACTCTATGCCAGCTCTTACAGCACATGTGTAAGTATTGTGTGCCGTGGGTCATGTGACTTGTCCCGCGCTCCTGATTGGCTACTCGGGCAGCGCGAAGTGAATGAAAGCCCGATGTAAACAATATGCTGTGGACATAACGGCACTCACAGAGTAATTTAGACCAGTTTGGCGCGTGCCTGGTTTGGTAGTGGGAGCACGCGGGTTTGTTTAATTTCTCATTATCAGTGCTGTGAGCTGTGAAACATGGAAAAACATATCTGACCCCAGTGCAAGTGTTTTCTTATGATAGTGTAGAAGTGTTTACACACTGACTGAACAAATAAACATTCCATAAAAATCGGTCCTTAAACATGTCGCTGATCTGCAAATAACCAAATATATAAGGAGAATACGAACAGAAATAAACATAACATATAACAATATAATAAACATTTACAATACGTGACAATGCCACAATGATGTCTAACACGGGAGTGATTGGCACGGTAATGCTTAAATAGAGAAGAATCTGACTATCAAAAACAAAATATCTTTAAAAATGCAAAATGAACCTGTCATTCGCCCTTGATATATAACTCACTCCATCATAATTAACTTATACCTAAACGATTTTCTCTGTCCATGTCGGTCTTAGTCACGCTTAAAAAATATCAAGAAGTTGGGAGCATTAAAAATGTATGTTACTCAAAAGCCGTCATAATGTTGAATACGATACGTGCTGTAGTCGTGACTGGTCGCCATCCACAACAAGGTTATGCATTCATGGCGAGATGTTATCACTCCCTTTTCGACATTCTACCTGTCAGATACCGTCAAACTTTGCCCTCGCGCCGAGCCGAGTGGGACTCAGCTGTGATTAACACTGTAATTAGTCTGTCTGGTGCATTGTAATTGCGCTTATGAGTAACCGATACATTGGTCCGCATATCTACATATTTCGCTTCTCACCACGAGCGTGTGAAACAACTCCTGTCCCTCTTTGTCTTGTGTGGCGTGTTAAGTTACAGTTCCTTAAACTCCGAGTCGTCGATGTGAAATATTTGCAAAGGAAGGTAGATAACTCTAAATTTTATTTTGATTTATCCCTTCAATAATTACCTCCCTTTCGTAAACCGGGTCTGGATATCTGAAATGCTGTGTATTTGCTGAACTTTTGAATATCAAGTTTGGGTTATTTGTTTAATCTTATTTTTAATGCATTTGGCATGTTGGATCAGTCTCTGTGTGGTAACCTGCGGCGTTAATGGAGAACAACGTGTTATTTGATGAGATAACAATGAGATATGTTATCATTTAAGAATGTTACCTGGACATTTCAAACAGTATCTCGACCCTCGAGATGACAGCTAGTCGAGTCATCAGGGTCCTAGTTCGGAGGTCGAGTACCGTCTAAGTTCTCCTGTTCATAGTGGTCCATTTGAAGTCATATCACAACGCGTTCTGATTGATAGTTCTGGTGCCGTGTTAAGTAGAACGGTATAGTTATATACATCACTTTTAATCAACATAAGTTCAGAGATTACCCTTGCTTAGCAACTATCGTATCGCGATTGGGATATATCCTGAAGTTGATGTGATAGGGCTTATGTTGTCATGGAGTTATTGAGGTAACAGTGACACGTTGATCGTGTTTTAGAGTTTAAGATTAAGCCGCACAGACTAACTTGCCAACAGCGATTAAATGGTTAATGATTGTAATTTGACCTGGAGTGTTTTAATTATCGGTCGTCTCGGTAGACTGACCATGTCACAATGCCCTTGGCACCCAGCACGGGCCATCATTGCTGGAATGACATGCATATATTTACATCACATTAGGTGAACACACCTGTGTCTGTCTGTGTAGCTACAGGTATTACACACATGGTGGCAAAAGGAGAAGTACGTATGAAATTGATCATTCAAGATTCAAGATTCTTTTCTTCTCCATAAAACCACCAACGGTGGTATAAGAGTGAAATACAGGGTATACTACTTACAACATGGTGAGCAAGGTGGCAGTACATATGATAGCAACATGATAGAATTTGATACAACTGAGGAAACGAAAGGCTATGACACTCTTATTGCTATAATATTTATACATTTTGCAAGGGATTTCAGTTCTTTTCTTTTACTAGAAGAAAAGAGTAATATGAAAGAATGGAGGCTGGTATTTTGGTATATTTAATTGGTATGAGATATTTCTTTGAATTTCTAGTGATGTTCAGCGAAATGGAATTGACAAAATATCTGACGAATAATACAGTATATTTTCTTCACAATTAGTGTGAAGAACAAGCTTACTAAGATACTAAAGCATTCGACTTTATGGATAACAACTTCTTGTTTATTGCATAGAGCGACGTTTCGGTGCAGATTCGTAACCAGTTATCAAGTTAAGACATATATACTTCTCATCGCTCCTTTGTAGTCACTCTTAGCTTGATAACGGCGTAAGAATATAGACTGAAACGTCGCTCTATGCAATAAACAAGAAGTTGTTATCCATAAAATCGTATGCTTCATTATCGATTCACCAACTAATATAATGCCGATTAAACGATTAACATCAGATGGTTTTGAATAAGGGGTGTATTCGACAAAATATATCTGTTCTATGCTTGATTATTTTTGCCAAGTTGAAAACGGAAACCAGAGAACAACTGATCAATTTTGAAACGTATATGTTTTCTAAATATTATTCATTATTAGTATGTTTTCAATGATGATTTGAACTTGCAGTGTTTGATATGTTTAAAGTGTTTTTTCTTACATGATGTTTCTGTTTTAATTTCAACGCAACTATTTAACACATCCGGAGTTACACAAGTGAGACTTCTTATCGTCATCCCGCATACCAACCCTGCACATCAACACCAGGAAGTCACGTGACGTGCAGCACGGAGGTAACCGAAAAGTCTAAGGGAGTAATTGACATCATATCACCTGTCAAGGTGAGCTGATTACAGTACAATATTCACTGGATCAGTATTTGTGGTATGCTATGTACATGGATATAACTGTAATTACCTCTCATAGGATGCGTTATGACTGTATTGACGTTTTTGACACGATAAGCATAAAGTCGTATAAATATGTGTCTCAATATTCATTCATTCATTCATTCATTTATTCATTCATCAAGCATCATTACTATACTCAATTTTTTATCTTATTTTCAAGACACTAACGGTTAAGTGTATGGAACATATCTGTACATTTCTGGAAAACGTCATGTTCAAACTTACTTTGAGGCAAGTCCACGTGTTTCATACTTAATATGTACACAATAAATGTATTTGAACGTGAAAGTCGTGTCATAATGTTTTTGTCAGGTATTGCCTTGTACATATCAAAGATTTTCGTCGTTACCGAAATGTAAGGAAATGTCATTATTGCCTTCCTGCTTGATATTTCTGAGATGTTTACCAACAAACAAGCAAACGGATATGCCCTGTCATGCTCATTATATTAAATACGTGTCAATCAAAACGTACATTAGACTGATAATAAGGTGTAACTGGGCCGGCTAATTAAAGATACACTTGTCGAAACGTATACATTCCATGCCTACATTACACTGTATTAATATTTTCTCTTATAGAAGCACTCGGACTTATGTTAACATTGGATGACAGGTGTAATGTTTAGTATTCCTAAAATAGTTGAATAATACTATAAAAACCTGAACTAAACTATATATTCAAATGTAATAATTAATCTTTTTACTTTTTAAACATGAGGTCCCTCTATTTCAATTATATAGAGACACCCACTCGGTAATGATGAAGGCATCGTTCAAACTGGGATGTTAAGCCTATCACTGGGGTAAACAGTTGTGTAGGATAATAACTCCTTCTTACGTTCACTTACTGTGATTTGACATTTTAATTTCACCATATCTCTTTCAATAAAACCCATGGTTCCGTTTCACCGATTAATTTTTTGCAGGTTTGACCCTAAACAAAGTAGTGGCTGACAAGAATAAAACTGACTTAGGAAATACTGATTTCGGAAATGTTGATAGTTATGGTGTTTGCATTGTAGTAAGACCCCGATTATATATTAAGAATGTCCAATGATCGTTATCCTAAACAAAGTTATAATTATATACTTAGATTAGATTCTGTTGGTATGATTACATGGGTTTAAAAAATGCGTAAGCTTTTAATAAGTATGGATTTGGTTATGTTTGGCTTTCCCGAGACATTGGAAATTGTCATTATGTTTATCATTATTTAAGCAGAGGTTAGTTGATTGTTCAAAACAAAGTATTAGCAGCAATATCATGAATTCACCCAATCTTGTACATTTTAAAAGTATTATATCATCATTGTAAGAGACTTAAGAAGATATTTATATTTGCTAACATTCAATGCATTACCATAACGATGTATGTTAGATGGCAGTAAACTATGAACTTTGATGTAATTTGTAAGATGTATAATAATAATAGAAGTCCACTTTCTGCTTGAATGTGACAGATATGTAACACTACGAAAAACGTATTTACATTGTACTTCTATAGAATAATTTAACAAATGCTTATAAATTTATAAAGTTAATAATTTCTAATAACCTGGTACTTTTATTGAATTGTGCTAAGTTTATAAAATCGTCTCTTAAATACTTATCCTCTGTAAATTGACAACTCAAATGTCTGCCTATTGCCATTATGCACTGTATCATTTGCATTGTTTTTTGTACATAGGCCGATGGCCTACAAACTGAAATAAACTTTGTAAAAAGACCCCGAAATAGGTACCAACCCTGGTGAGTTATCTGAGAACCATCTTAATCTGAATCCGACACCCAAAATATGCCAGTTAAAATGCAGTGATATTTAATGCCGTTATTCCAAAAATAATATTCATGGTATTCTTAAATGTTCAACAAGTATCTTAATTTACTGACCTTGTGGAAGGTACAACATGTACCTGAAAAACAAAACGTACACAGAGGTTTGCATTCCCCGTTCTCCAGACAACACATTGAGGATTAGGAATGTATATACTTTCTGATAGTGGGAAAAACATAGTGAATATTCAGATGGAAACGTTTTCTGTGTGTCGATTAAAGGCTACTATCGTTTACATTATGTTTCTACGGCGTTCCAAGAAACCAGACTTTTTAATCATTGCTCTTCTCTACTCTGAAATTTCCCCCAAATATGCACATTATTCGCCTGGTTTTTTTTAAAATATCGCTTTCTATTTATTTTAGTTTTCTTGCGAAGCTTTGTATATTTATTATTCAGAGTCTTGCACATAGCAGGCTGTCATTGTATATTTATAACTCATTCCTTCTACAAATCATGCTGTCATTGTATATTTCAACAAGGAACCGTGCGTTATCTCGAGCTACAAATGTATTCTGACAGAACTTTCAGCTGTTGAGTCATTTTAAGAAATTGGAAGCAGCACAATATTTAATTGTTTGATTTTTTAACCATATGAGGCAATTATAATATTGATTTCTCACTAGACGTTGCAAGCTGTAATTTGTCTGGCTAGCGTGTTGAGTTGTCGCTCGCAGTAGCCTTCACAGATGTGAAATAGACATGATTTGTGACACATGCCAAGTGATAATTGCCTGTCCTCCATTCTCCCCACTTATGTCTGAATACAGAGGTGCTGATAATAATGTTAGCTTGGATCGTGGTGTCACTCTTGCGTGTTATAAACGTCATTGTGTTCCATATAAAAGACCAAATTGTGTTATATTTCTTTACTTTAACAAATAAAAAACACCTTCTCAAATTCGTTAAATATTGCCGCTGCATTCTGAAAACTATCATTGTAAAATCACGTATAGATGTCGTTTACCCTATATGCGAACACCTGGTATCATCACTGATTTCATTCATGTAATTTCAAGGGTGTTTCCTTCCAAAGGAATCTGTTCTTCGTGAAATCGAACTGTTTATTCTCTGGAGTTCACGTTAACTATTTAATAACTGCGCTGTAACACGTTTATATATTGTCCTATGTCAGTGTATATGGTGTTACAATATGTTGTAATTGCACTGCATTGTTTCCATTAAGATTCGGGAGAAGTTCAGATAATTGTGTTCTATCAATAATTAGTTGTACAGGTGACGAAGCAGCATCTATAGTACTGTACCAAGTCCGTATGCTAGTCACGGTATATATAAGTAATTCGTAAGTAACTACACGCATCGTTTAAGATATACAGTTTTTTAGTTGGACAAATGACCAGCAAGGAGCCCATGTTTTCCCGCTAGTCGTGGTCACTATTTAAACATCACATCACCCCAAAAAGTATTCTATTTAATGTAGTAATGCAAAATGATTGGATGGTGACTTGTCAAAGAGATATCGTGTAATAGAAATATTTCAGCGTTTGTTACATTTTCTTGTCATAATTCTTTAAAGTAAAAACTTAAAACAATATGTCTCTGAATTTACGTCAATATAGTATGTTGGTTTGCTTGAATATTATCAAAACCTGTGAATGGTTTCTTGTCAAATATACCCGTAAAGTGTCGATTATTACCTTTTCTAATGATACAAAACAGAAAGGTCTTCTTAGGTAAATGCACTTTCAGATATCATCCTTGAAGATTTAAATAAAACCGGATAATATGTCAATCTCAAAATAAGTACACACGATTTTTTTAAAAATCCACAAGAAATGTTGCAACGCAAAGGACAATTCACCAAATTTATATAAAGGGCTGGAGAGCTACCTCGGTCTGGTCCTGGAAGCTAGTTCTTTCTTCTGTTGAAGGGTCAGTGAGTGAGTCGAATCTTACGCCGTTTTTAGCAATTTTATTCAATATTATGCCACCAGAACATGCTCCACACCTTGCACCCATATGGGCCCAAGTCTTCTGCATTTTGTAAAGAAATTCCGACTAGCGAAATATGAAATATGACTATGAAACTGTGAACAGTCACGGTGTATAATGTGACGGTATGTGATATTGCCCTGTAAGCCTCGAGGCGCCTGAACGTGCTTGTGTCTCAAAACAAACCCTCGTTTTTCAACCGCTGAGCTTACATATTTAAAACACGATTTTCCAGTCTTAAGAGTCTGTATATAAACAGATCACCATGACTTGTAAAATCAACGTTTACAATTTTAAAATATACACAGCAAATAAATACTTACAGAATTATTGTTGTATCAGGGATAAGTCGACAGCGACATCCATAATCGAGGTATTAATTCTCGCTGTGTACACAGATCCGTTCGAGCTGCACAAGCGGGGCTAAGAGCTGTGTTTGTCTAGAAGCTCGCGTTACTTAACAGTTTGCGGGACTCCTAGAGCACGCGCTGTGAAGACTCCTGCACCAGTCAAAGCTTCTCGTGTGTTTGTGCGTCTGTGCATCCTCGCCTACCGTGTTTGTTTGTGATGCATGCATACACCTAGACATAATATTTGGCTTAAGACATCTGATACTCCTTACCAGTAAACGCACAATATGAGAGATTAATGTACATGCGTGACAACACAGGCGTGTGGAGGAATAACTGGGGGTTGTCAAAGCGTAACATTTTAAATATTTAAAAAGTTAAAGAAAAAGTTAGTTTTAAAAATCTTTTGGTAGGCAGTTTGAAATAATTAAAGAGGATGATTTAGGTTAAAAATGAAAACGTTGTTATCCCTATACCCGTATATTTAGGGGTAATGAGTAGCAGGGTAGCTGAAGGGTTAGTTCAACGCTGCAAAGACACGGGTTTGATTCATTACTTGAATGGACCGTTGTTCTTGTTCCCTGACTTAGTGAGTGAGTGAGGTTACTTTTGCGCAGATTATAGCAATATTCCAGCAATATCACGGCGGGGGAAACAAGAAACGAGCTTCACACATTGTACCCATTTGGGGAATTGAACCCGGATCTCCCTGACCTAATAATGCTTTGATACTGAGGGTTCGTTCAGTAACAATATTATGTCTTTTAAGTTTTATTGAATTTGGTATGTTTTCCTGGATTTTCTTGTTTACGTTTCAGAAACTGATCCCGTCAACATACTCATCATCATCGTAATCAGATAACATGATCTGAAGTGTTTAAAAACATTAATTCAAATTGTTGTAAGTTTAAAAACATGTTTCATCTGGCGATATCTCTCTGAGGACGTGGAGTATGAGGAACTTGAGTTCATGTCACGCATTGTGAACATTGAAAGTTATAGTCTCAGCAGACACCAAACACTACAGTGATGCAGCTGTAGATATCACCACAAACATATTTCGGTTTAAATTTGCATAATTATATATCAAGGGTATTTATACAGTATCTTTTTTTAAACAACAAACAAACGAGGGACATTGTTTAGTGATCACAGCTGCATGGTACAAGTGCTACAAAAAGGACACTCGATACAAATCATGGAAAATTACTCGTATTGCTTTGTTGAAAACAGAACAACAGAAAGATTGGTCAACATTCTAAACGTTTTAGGGGCAGTGGGGTAGCCTAGTGGTTAAAGCGTTCGATCGTCATGCCGAAGACCCGGGTTCGATTCCACACTTACAATGTGTGAAGCCTATTTCTGGTGTCCCCCGATGTGATATTGCTGGAATGTTGATAAAAGCGGCGTAGAACTAAACTCACTCACTCACTAAATCTTTTCCACAAGACGTGCTTACCTTTGCCGAGAACACCCGGTGTCATCCCAAATTTTCAGTAACCCATTCAGTTAATTTTCACAGCTTTTTGGCCCTTTCAGCACAATGGAATCTCAAGACTATAAATTCTCTCGAGTTGGCGTGTTATATTAGATAATAGTGTTGTCATACGTTTACATATTGATATATGGAATGTTGTAAATTTATGACATTGTTTCTTTAACGATTCAGATGAAGTTCATGATATTTTGTTTTATTAAAAGTTAGTTTTCAGGAATGTATTGTTATCTGCTGTAAGCACTAGTGTGAAAGGTGCTATATTTTAATGCTTTTGGGGTCAATTGTAATCTGGAATAGTCATAGATGTAACTTTCCAGAAGGTGTCTATACATATGTACATTTGGGTAAACGCATGTCTCTCTCATCTCATATTATATCACGACCAACAGATCTTATAGCCTTGGTCTGATTTGGAAGTTTGACCACATCTGCTGTTAGGCTTATACGTTATCATCACCCCTTAATTGCAATTATCACGTCTGTTGTAATTCCAGCTGGCAATATATTGTATGCTACCGCGGCATTTTCTTTGCAGGAGTTTCTATTGATTAGAAAACTACATATTTTAAATTAAATAATTGGTAATTGTGTAACATTTCTTTGTTGTTTGTTTACTTCACATTTATGTTTTTCTAGTAGAATTGTGGGTTAACTTATTGTTTCAATTTTTTAAATCAGCGCACCCCCATAACCGTAACTATTACACAGCTATTGATGTTGGTTATGTAAGTAAGTAGGTAAGAAACAACACCATTGTGCCGGAACTTGAAACTGACGCCACCGACCCTGCACGTGCAGCTGACACGTTGGGTCAAACAGGATTCAGTAAAAGCAACATATTTTAATGTCACAATAACTTTATGACACTTTTACCAAACACTTCTTCCCATTTGTCAGTGTCTTAACGTGTATGTGTTGTTAAACACAGAACAGCTATAGTTGTCCTTGAAGCGCTATGTCCCTCTACGCCCCTAGTCTCTCGCTAGCTAGTCGTGACACCTCTAACACATGGATCCCAAGATTCCCATCAAAATGAGTGAGTGAGTTGTAGGTCAGTTATGTAATATATATCACGGGGTCCGGGGGCTGGAAAGATTCATGTCTTACACGTTGAACACTTTGATAACACCCATGAGTATTGATATGGTGCTAATAAACCTTGAAACATAATCGAGCGACTCTGGGATTCGAACCCGTACCGATTGCTCTCTGGCATGACTGGCACGCCGTGCACAGATGATCTCAGCGCACAGATGATCACCACGTTACCAGCGTGACGACGCTACCATTGTTATGTGGCAGTGTTATTTATTGTGATACAATATTCCATGTGTTATGTAGGCCTACATTGTTTTCGTTGACGTTGAGTACGATACATCAGTGTGCTTTATATTGACACTTGTGCTATATTTAGACAGAATTCTGGAATGTACTACAATCCTCCTGTGATGCAAAGAACATTATAGAAAGATCGGAAAGCCTTTTCTAAGGTACATAAGGGAAGCTAACTCTTGGTGCTCGTTACATGAAATCTCAAGTTTCAAAACGACCAATACTGGGTGTGACACCCTGGATACTTTGCCTTTCTTGCAAGTTAGATTATTGTTGCTGAGGTGAATATTACCATAACTCTCTGTATTGCTATAACCACTGCTCTTGTATTATATTACTTTATAATTTGTTCCGCACACAATTTTGAACTGCCACATTAAAATCTTTGTTGTGATTTGTATTGATTTGTGATGTTAGACAGTTTTAGAATACAATTGTTAATTATATCACCTTGTTTTGCTGTTAGTTGGATTCACACCGAGTTCTGTTACGGACTGATTCCGTGTTAACTGCTGCATTAGATTCAGCCCTGGAATCAACACGCAACATCATGCTCCCTGCGGCGTAAAACACTCAACACCAGTGCAACACCGAGGGAGGAGCGTGCAATAGCTACCAGATTTAATGCATAACACGAACAGCAACTTAAAGCATGAACGCGTAAGTTGTGAAAAACTACATTGACTGTTTCATCATGGCTACACACGGAGCTGCAGGCCTTGTTCCACTCCAGTACCGACTCTGTGAAATATGTATTTTATGGAACCAAAACCAAGCATAATAAAAAAGATAATAAAAAGCATGTCTATCTAGTTCTAATAAAACACATTTAGGGGAGAGAATGTATTGTGCAATCAAATATTTCATAGCCTCTATGTGAGTCTAATTCTTTTCTCGGCTGTTCAGTTGATTATGAGACCAACAGATCTCACAGAACATCATCAGCCATGAATATCAAACCACAAACAATTCCTACTTTTTTTATTGTTTCTTTTATTGTCACGTATATGATCATGAGCAGCTGACGAAAAAGGTTCTTTAAGTTAGAAAAAGAGTGTTTGTATTTTATAGCGGCACCATCTAGGTCTTCAGAATCCGTCATATTTAACTTGCTTTCAGCCGCGCATGCATGTGTGCAATCATTTTGAAAATAATATTTTTGTCTAAAAGCTTGATCTTTGTAATTTCGGTGAAAGCACGTATCATTTCTAAACAAAGGACATAGAATCGCAGTTGGGCACATAACCGTAATTTTATATTCCCATTTGACAGGCTGGAGAAGGCAGTTGATGTTCAGGAGAAGGCATGAAGGCCTAGCGAGCGATATCTAGCTTCCCTTGATGCATTACGTCACGTCACGGGGTAATTGGAAATATAAAACCAGAGTCAAGTCAACTAAAAGTGCGCACATTTATTTCTCATCGATATGGTCCCTGTGGTTTGTAACCTTAGCAACCACGTGTATAACACAATGTAATATTAGACTGTAAAATCTGTGACATAAGACATAACTCATTTTACTAAAAGCGCCTCAAACGGTCCTGACAAAATGGCTGTGGGGTTTTGGTCGCGAGAGCATTAAATTCTACTTATTTTAATGATGTCACACACCTTAAAGACGTCTTCGTCTTAAGCACGCTGGCAGTGTCAGACACAAGTGTTGAAATGTGATTAAAAATTGCCAGATTCAGACAAGCATTACAAAGTGGCGTGACCGACGTTATTTCTACGACATCAACGGTACGACCCTCTGTCTTGGGGTCACCGAAGACGTCGGGTGTGGGGTTCAGTTAAGGTCAAGGTTAAAAATGGTTCGAGGGATATTTAACTATTTGTATAACAGTTGCCGTATTTGTACCTCCTAGAGCTATGTGCTTGTCTATAATCGATGCAACTGCCGTGTTGATGTTTTCTTTTCAGATGAACAACTGACTTGCCCTTGCATGTGTTTCTGACGGGTGCCCAAAGTAGGGACAGGATAAGCTTTAAAACACCGCGAACACCAGGCACCATCACTATGTGATAGTGATACATGCTTACGATATAGTCATGATCGTACACTGTTTTAGTTATGTTCTCTATAAATTATAATTTTGAATATGCTTGTGTCGCTTTTATTTACGTTTGTGCCATGTACTTAAGTGTTCACTCGGCCCGGGTTCAGTTCCCCACATAGGTGCAATGTGTAGATCCCTTTTTTTATGACCCCAGCCGTGTTGGCATTGCTGGACTGTATGGACCTTTGACACAAAACACATTCTCATTCCCTCACTAAAATTTAACTCCAAGGTAGTATTCCAAAACTTTGGGTACATTTAATCCAGTGATTTGCGGGAGTTTTCAGCTCAAACGAGACGTCACAACGTGCGTGACGTCAC